TTTCACACTATAAGAAATAACAAAGGAACAATAGACCTTGACACAATTCTATCTGGGAACCCAAACTTGGAACCACAAAATAATATGAACATTGTTAAAGCCGTACACAAATACATTAAATAATTGAAAAGATTTTTTATGAATAACCAGCGTAACTATTCTGTATCTATTACAAACCCTTTCCTTTCTTTCTTTGCACCACCCTTTTCTTATTTCCGTGCAATTTTTTGTATTGCACGTTTGTTTGTTGTACATCACGTGTATATGTATGTCATTTTGTTTTTGTTGGAGAGGACAATTCTAGGTTGGTAAAACTTGTGTCCAATCCTATTGATTATGTTTCAATAAAATATGTTTAAATACAAAAGGGAAAAAAACACCCTTTTTGTAATTTTCTTACTTCACGCTGTTGGAGTGTCAAACTTTTTTTCAATCTTAATTAAATTGTGCAAAATCAAGTCAAATGGTGAGTGTTACCATTGAAATCAAAAGATGAGCATTCACATATCAAGTTTTTAAAATGATGATAGCAGTCTTCAACGTTGATTTAACAATCAAAAACTTGTTTCCGCCTGAATATGCCAACTTCTCTGCCCAAATCTAAGAGATGTCAGTAGTTACCTTGCGTACATATTCTGATATAGACTGTATGTAGACACAAATGTATTTCCATTTTGAACCAAATTATAAAGATTTTTATAAATAATTTCGTTTTTTGAAATTTAATATTTTGGTTAAAAAAAATAAATGCTCAAACTTCCAAACACTTTTTTTAAAATTTCAAATATCTAGATTTTTACCTTTAATATTCAAAATTCAATTTCAAAAAAAAAGAAGAAGGTCTTTTTGTACATGTATTTAAAAAACTTTTGAGTTTTTAATTTATCTGTTGTTCATAAAGTTTACTCCTAACAATGTAAAATCCAGTACCCCCCTTTTTTTTATGTCTTATGATATTTTAAAATTTACTTTGAACTTCTAAATTTCAACTTTAAAAACGTTTTAGAATTTAAAAATTTAGAATTTTGATTAAACCTGACTGAAATTAAGTCTGCATGATCTAACGTCACCTAAAAATTCAAAACCTTCGAGGAAGGGAGGGAAAAAAATATAAATAAACAATAATGTTCACAAATTTTCGCTAAAATGTCCACTTTTCCCCGTCAATCCGCTAAAATATCCTATGAAGGACTTAGGTGGAGTGACATTGAAAAAATTAATTGATTAATCACGAAATTCCATGTGTCCCTTCGACATTTGTCTTAAAATCATGAGAAACGCACCTCTATAGTGTGACTTGCCGACAGATGTCACTGCCGAAATTAGCACTTCACAGGAGTAATTAAATAATTATAATCAAGTTGATTAGTCGCTATTAAAAATTATCTTTAATTAGAATAATTCAATGTAATTATATTCATTGCCTTTATTCACTTTATATATAAAAAAAAAACTTACAAATTGTGCATAAAAATTTTTGAAATAATATTTTATTCACAAGAAGCCGTAGCATTCCAGGATAAATTTCAGAGAAGTGAAACGGTATGTGTTTTATTTATTGAGTAATGAGAGAAGTGTGCTTAATAAAAAAAATCTAGAAGTATACTTACATATACTATTTGTTATCATTTAATTAAAATTGATACATTGAATGAAACTTATCTTTAAAAAAAAAAAAAAAAAGAAATTATCAAAATCTGTTGAAAGACAGTTTGTTGATATATTATTGTACCATATTTTTTTTAAAACATGCATTTTCTATAAATCAGTTGAATCGTGATACATACAGGTTCTTAGTACATTGTATAAAGTTGTCGTGTATTTAAGGGGGAAAATCAAACAAAACTTATAGCTATCTTCGATCAAAAGTGAGAAAATTCTTCAGAATAGATAAGAATCTGTAACAATCTGTGACACCATTAATCGCTGATAGAGGGTTTTTTTTTCTCTCGTCTTTGAAATCTATGTCATTTATGTGTTATAGTAAAAGTTTAAACCTTAATTCTATAAATAGTTTCAAGTCAGATATAACCTTTTAATGTAGCAAATATACGGTGTCTATTATAAAGGACAGTGAAAAAATCAATTCTATCAATGTTTCCTTTTTTTTCTAAGTTTCAAATCATATGTAACCAAAACACGCTGTATCTGAGAATTGTAGTTATATATATTTATCACGAATGATTGTTAAAGGATTTTCCATAGACCTTTTAAATGATGTAGTTTAAAGATACTTATTAGGAGCCCAACGAGCTATGTGTTGTACAACATAAGTGGAAAGGGGGGGGGGGGATGTATACCGGTTACATGTAATATTTTATAGGAGACGTGGCAAGGTTCATCAGTACATAGGATCTGACCGATATTTTGTAATATTTAGATGGGATTAGTAAAGAGGCTGATAACAACCAGTCCCTCTCCTTCTATAGTACACTTACCAAAAGAAAAATGGACAAGACAACTCATTCAAGGTAAAAACATTTTTAATTTTCTTTTATTTGTATATACAGTGTATAATGGGTTTTTTTTTTATTGCATCTTAACGTTATATATTTGGTCAGATAACAGCCATTATAGTGCCTGCATCTACATCTAGTAGTGAAATAGTACCGTAAATGACAGACTAAGGCTGTAGGGAGTCTAGGGACAGTGTAGCAGGGAGGGTCGGGGTGGGGCCGGGCAAATTAATGTAAATATTTTTTTTTTTACATTGAAGGCTAATATATGACCCTTATTGTACAATTAAGAGGATTACCTTTAATGTACGAAACAAATACAATAACCCTACTATTGACCCTTAATATGGATGTATGGGCGGATCGGGGGGGGGGGGGGGTCTGACCCTCTGGAATTTTCAGAGTTATTAAATTCTTAGGTAAAATTAACGAAAAAATGACCTTGGACTCTCTGGGAAACACGGACCCCTCATAAAATGGTAAAGAGTCATCCCCCACGAAATAGGATTTTCAGGTTTGGGCAAATAATTTCGTTTTATTATTTCTGAGACTGACATTTGTTACAATTGATGTGTTCTCCCCCCCCCCCCCCTGGAAAAAAATTCCTGGATCCACCCCTGGGAAGCAATATTTTCACAATAGTTTATCCAAAAGAATCACCAAATCCGATTTATCCACCTTTTGCTATTAAAAAAAATGTTACCCCACAGCTGTCGACATTGAGTCCATTTTTTTTTTAAAACGATAAAAATAATTTTTTTTAAAAAAAACCCATTTAAGGGTTGCAGTGATTTCAATAACTTACTCTTAATGTTAATAATTTAACATTAATTCAAAAAAGAATATATTTATGTGTAGTTTTAAGATTAAAGTTTGTAATATAGCTAATAACTATATCTTTTCACAATTCTCGATTCCATTTTCATCAGTAACCCACTGGTATAGATATTTTTGTATAGTGTACCACTCATCAAAATTTATCCCATTTTAATCTTATACATATATCTACAATGAATCTGTAAAAGATACCAATGGAAATGTATTGAATTATTCTTTTACTATGCATTGCTTTTGAAAAGATGCCATGTTCATGAATATTATTTCTCTTTACAGTAAGTACAATATAATTCACATGCAGCACTTATATGAAAACTTTTACTTTTAAGATGAACCAAACAAAGGCCAACTAAAGGATCTGATTGGTGTAGCAATTGGGATTTATTTCCTCATTTTTATCGTAGTCATCCTCGTCATTTTCTGTCGACGACGCAGACGAAGACCATCCATTGAATGACCATTTATTTGATTATTTTTACCACCGTTGTCACCGTCATCTTGTACTGACGACATGATGATGACTGTCCTGTGATAAACATTTGTTTCATTATATATTTATATAGCAACATCATCTTCCACTGACATCGCATACAAAGACTGTGACGTCAGTGATTTAGATTTACCTGTGCTTCCCGGTACTTGTCGTCAATTTATCCTTTTACAGATTATCAAAGGAATACATGTGTATTTATGAATTCATACACTATAGTCATTCTGTGGTATCGAGAGATGTGAGGCTTGTTTCTCGTTGTTTAACTTGGATACTACAGATGTACCAAGTCTTCTGAATTTTGTTGATATTTCCAGTATGAAATCCTTCTTTAAGTTTCTTGATATACAAAGTATTGTACATGTGATAGAATATACAACTGAGTTTATATTTATATACAATGATAATAAAGATCTTTAAAATATTTTTAAAAAAAAGTATAGTGACACTCGCATATGTATACATGAACCAGAAACTTATCAGTGCTTTGTGAATTTATTTTTTATTTTAACTACAGGTATATATAAGTCCTTTGTTTTGAATATCTGAATATGATCAGTTAAGATTCGTGGTCACACGAATGCGTATCATTATTTAGAACAGATGTTAGCTGTCAAAACCTGTGTGTATATGGTATTCGGTAACCATTTTAAAAGAACACGTTCCAATAAGGTGTATGGCTGAAACCAGCTGCATAAATAGTTATTCTTATTCATGTACTAATTAATATTGATGCTTGATCGTCCTTAAGATAACAATGATTGTAATTGATAAGGAAAAAATTAAATATTAATGTTTTAACATAGATGACTGCCTATTTTCAGGACTTTAATTGAATAGCAAGGTCCCTCATAAGCATTGCTCGTTCGTGTACCGGAAATTCGAGTAATCGAGATCTCCTCAGCGGAAATGAAATTCGTTTTCTTGGAGCGATCACTGAATTCCGTGGCAACATTAACAATTACCATTTTTCGTGTAGAAAATCTCTTTATTTTAATTAAATGATCATCAAATTGAAATCTCTCGTTAATTGGTTCGTTTGTTTAAGGAAAGAAGCAGCTGTTTTCTGGGTGATGATAACTCTATGTATAGTCGACAGATTTTGCATTCTCACAAATTAGCGATTGGAGAGAAAAACGAAAAGGTCACGATATAGCGGTGTATTAATTAATCATCTTATAATTGGGACTGTCTTTACTGAAAAATTCTCAGTCGTCATGGACAGGCAAAATGATAAAGACTGCAAAAATCTTGACCCAAGCAATGAGGATATTTTTTCAAGTATGTATTCATCACGCCTCCCCTCGTTTGGGGGAGAATTTTCGGCATTTCAGAATTGGAGAAATTGTTTTAAACGAAACAGTGATGACTTTCAAAGAACATTGGCAGATTTAAAGAATGGAGGATGGTGGGAAACAAGACATCGTCAGACAAAATCCGAGAATATTTCAAACAACTTGCACGACAATTTTTCTAAAAGTGAAAATAGAATGACTAATGGGACCGAGACACCATCTCTTGGACACTGTTTGCCTGCATTTGCACCCGTTTTTGCTGGACTAAGTAAGTTAGTATTAGTTAGGTTGAATTGCAAAACTAAGTAAAAAATTAAGTCACAGTATCGTATCTTACTTTTGAACAGTCTACAGAGAAATATCAATGTTAAACTATATGTACTGTACATATTACCATGTTTATTTGCAAGGAGGGAGCAAGAGTGCAAGGACGAGAAATCAACAAAACAAAAGCAAAGGCGACATTGCATATTACAAATTAATGTAAACCATTGCTGTGAAGTAAATACTTCATTTTTGCTCTCCTATTGACTTAAAATTGACCTGTACAGTTAAATAACGGTACGAAGCAGTCCACTGATATGTTTTTGACTGTAATGAATTTTTCTTTTTTCCATTTATCAGACGCTTTCAAGTAACTTTTGAAGATTTTTAAGGTTCATAAACCCTCTTTTTACTCAAATAAAATGTTGTTTTAATTATTATGAAAAAAATGTATTTTATAAATTGAATGCAGACAATTTTAGCATAGCTTGCGAGGCAAAATTTGTATTAAAAAAAAAATGATATTTCAACTTTTCTCAATAGAGAGTTATCTACCTTATCAGACTATTAATAAACCTTAATATCGATGTTTTAAGAAAGATGTATGCCACATGTAGTTCTACAGGGAATAAAAATCAAACTGTTCATGACCGTAAAGGTCATCAGACACTGACACTTTTTCCATAAAGAACTGTATGTATCCATTAGAGATTTTCAGTGGGGAGGAGAAGATCTAGAGGATGGTAAGGGAGCAACCCGTAGTGCGTCGCACTAAAACAAAAATTAAATTTGACCCAATACAATGTATATAATATGATATTAAGATTGACTGGTGGTATTTTTTGAAGTTTTAAAATATGTGAGTCAATGCTCTTGAAAGTAGATAGACTCCAATACATTATAGAGTGCGACTGTTAATTTTTGCAATGCATGTTTTAAAAGAAAATTAACCTCTTACTCTGCCACTTAATCTTGTATTTCATAGAAAACCACGCGGTATAAAGCTATATATCACCACCTTATTTAATGTTTTGTAGTGCATAGACGACGGAGACGAGAGAACAGACCCAGACGACAACGGACGACATTCTCTAGCGATCAGACAGTCAAACTAGAAATCGAGTACAGCCGCACCGAATACATCACCCGCTCTAGACGGTATGAACTAGCGGAAATACTTTGTCTCACAGAAAATCAGATAAAAATTTGGTTTCAAAACAGACGAGCGAAAGAAAAAAGGATAGAGAAAGCTCACATGGACCATCATTTAAGGTACTAAAAAGGATAAAACAATTAGTCCTGGTAGATGTATCTCTCACAGTTTAGTGCTTATAACACAAGTGAACTTGTGATGAAAATTTATTTTAATGAAGGTCAGGGAATAAAAGTTCGTATTTCGAAAAATAAATCACGTAAGGTTCTAAAACTTACTCTTTCACACAACAAACGGCATTCACTCAAACTTCAATTATACTAGTACTGTAACACATTTACGCAATTATCACACATACGAGCCGGTCCTCTTTGAGGATTGTTATAATTAGTTTTAATATCTCTGAATTCTAAAACTTTAATGTAACACATATATACCCTTTGTGACTTTAGCCTATAGCTTTATACTCGGCGATAATCATCCGATTGGTTAATTAAACAAGTCAGTTGCAAAACCATAATCCCTTCTCTGTTGATATATGACAAAATATGGCAATACTGTATACGAAGACAAAGGGAAACAGCATTTACACCCCCTTGCATTGTACACCTTTTTCATGTTCAAATTTTTCTACAAATAATTTACAAACAGCATTGATGTAAGCTAACATACACAAACGAATGAAACATTTTTAACTTTTTACAGAAGTTTCAGTATCGGTGGACAAACAACCAGTTCTTTCCCGATTCCCAAGTGTTCGAATGGTAGTCTCTGTGATAGAAACACCTGCTCCTGGACGGAGTGTCCTATTCCGGAAACCAAAAACGGACTGTAACATAGCAAGTGTTAAATGTATGGACTAAATAGCTATATATATATATATACTTATCTGAATATATATTGTCTTTATGGATTCATTAAGAAACTCTGCTAGAGTTACTGCACTTTTATCATATTACGATATTTTATGTCGATTTCAAATACGCCTTTCATTTATTTCTTATTACGAGATTTTTTTTAAAATAAAGATAATTAATAAACTGGCATATACAGTACGTGAACTGGAATGCAAAATAAAAAGTTCATGCATGTTACTTTTAAAAATAATCACATTTATTAATAAATTTACACCCACCAAATATATTTAAATTCAAATTTTAATTTTGTTCTAACGTACCCATCGGCCATTTCTTTTTAAATTATCCCCCTTTTGAGAAGGATATCGACTCATTGCGCAAACATGTTTCTCACGTAACTTCCAAATTACGCGATGAATTCTTGCACAATTGTATCATTACTTTACGATCCTTCGATTCTGGAACTTGCGCAGCATTTCTGAACGTTTAATGTTTGTTTTATTTATAGACGGATTCTAGCATGAAGCAGAATATATAGTAAGCTGCGCGTGTATAAAAACCTGGCAACTCTCATAGATACAAAGACAGAATCGGAAGCGTTCAGAATCGATAAGTTGTTAACCAAAAATTATGTCCCGCTTAGTTCCTGTTGATTATTTTGATTGGGGATTTTTTGATAGACAAAAATCACTTTTTCCGAAGTTCAAAGGCATTTTCAATGAAAGTTTTGAGGATTTTGATAAGGAATTGGAACAGATCAGGAAAGAGATGTTTCAGTTGACTCCTCTGGACTTTGGTGCCGGATTTGACAAAGACCCTTTCGGTAAAGATTTCTTTGGAAAGGACCCTTTTGCAGGTTTTGGGTCAAGCATGTTAAAAGTAGAGAAACCATTCATTGAAGATATTTCTGGAAATAAGAAGTTGAATTTGAAATTCGACTGTAGTCAGTTTAAACCGGAAGAGATCACGGTGAAGACCGTAGACCGGAATTTGACAGTGCAAGCTAAACACGTGGAGGAATCGCCTGGGAAGAAAATCCACAGAGAATTCACCAAATCCTACACACTTCCGGAAAACATTGATCCCATGAAAGTCACTTCTACATTGTCCGGAGATGGCGTCCTATGTATTGAAGCACCTGCCCCTAAAAGTGTGGAGGTTCGCAACGAAAGAATCATTCCCATTGAGAAATTGGCAATCAAGTAACATTTCAATTCTTATGAACTTTGAATGAACTACAGGAATTGATGTAAAATATGTGATATTTTTGTTAGGCAATTGTAAAGGATTATATATTCATCTTTATTTTGTAAAGAAGATTCAAATAAAATGATCTCCGTAAACAAATTCATAGAAAAACAAACCTGACAAATTTTGGAAACAGTTAATCTACAATCAGATGGTGGAAATGGAATATATATCCATAAGGTATCACATCTGTCAAACGTTATTTTTTATTATCTGTATAATCTCTCTTCTGCGATATAAATACCATGTACTAGCATGCGTTGTACATATGCCTCTTTTTATCTTAATTATAAATCTAATCTGACAGCACAGAATAAATACAAACATCATTAATCTCCCGATCTTTCTATACAATCAGGGATAAATATTTTCTGGAATCTCTCCCAAACTGCAGCTCCTGTCTGCCTTGATAATCATCGTCACAGAAGGACAAAAGCAACGATGTCTGAAAATCACGATGCTGAAGGTCACTTATACCACAGACTTAGGAGTCACTGCCCTTGCCCTTCTCACACAGAGAGAGAGAGAGAGAGAGAGAGAGAGAGAGAGAGAGAGAGATGTATTACAAAGGCTAAGTCTAGGTCTTGACGAATACGTTCAAAATCAGAATATAGTTGGAGAAATATTGAACATAGAGAAATTCACAGAAATTGTATAGTAAATATTTTCTACAAAGCTTCATAAATGGAGTGTTTATACTTTGAAAAAAGTTAGAATTATGCAAAAAGGTACGAAAAATTGGATGACTGCATCAACATTAAGATCAGATTGTCGACACGTTTATCAATATTTATAATTTTTCAAAAGAATCCCCAAAGATTTGTCATTGAAATATTTCTACTTTTACAAGTTTCCTCACAAAAAATTGAGGTACCTTACCAGACAAATTTTGCTAGAAACCAGGGGATATTGTTTTTTCTTTATGATACTACCAGAAATAACTAGCATTGCCTTTGTCACAACTGTTGATTTATTTATTTTGAAGGCATTGGGAAAACAGTTCAGATATCACAAAATAATAATTGAGTAATTTGTCGTACATTACGAAGATTTTTGAGGAACGTGTCTTCAGACCGTTACCTTTTCAAAAATACAAGTAAACGTAGAATGAAAGTAACGTTATTTACAGTACATGTGTTCTAAGGCCATCATTAAAAATATCTTTGTTTCCCCTAACCCGACCCTAAAATCTCAAGATGGGTAGGTAGGTAGGCAAATAATTTTTTTCTTTTGACAGCAGCTTTGAAAATATATTCTTAAAATCTAATAGAATGATATCTTTATAAATAAGTTAAGTACAAAAGAAAGTGATTTGTAAACAGCTAGAATGCCATACAAATGCAGTTTTAACTCAACATTTAAGGTAAATCAATTCACAGCTATTATTCAATCGAAATATCTCATACCAGAGAAAATTTGTTGAAATCGAATACATCTGTTTAAAAGATTCTCGGGTACGCAAAGACTGTACACCAGAGTATATTTTTTATACCTACTATCAGCTTCCATTGCTCTGTACTTTGTACTTTTTCAAGGGCTTCGAATTGTGCAGTGCTTCTAGAGCATTTCGTTTTAGAGTCTCGAAGTAAGGAGCTATTTCTAAGTTGCAGGTTCAAATCCCAGTGCGGGAAGTTGAGACCGATTCTCCGAATGGCACAGTAAAAACTTAGGTCCAGTTACGCAGTAGATACTGGCACGAAAAAAAAAATCCTCATTGCTCATGGCTTAAAGTGCCGCGTACACGTCTAAATTTGGAGTCCTTCACCAGACAAATGTTTAAATAAATGTTGTCCCAACAATTATCAAAGGGATTCAAATCAAAGAAACAACCAATCTTCCAGGGCCTTATTAGAGAAAAATACACGGACGTCTCAGGAAGCTTGTACATGTATCATAATTTCAAATCTATTTGGAAAAAGCATGTTAACAATATTTAATTGAGGCAAATAATATATAAAAATGATAACATGTCATAGTATACACAATGTCAATGTTAAGAAGTTTAACCCATGATTAAAAGGCATGAAGAAAGGACATTTGAATTCTATTCATTAGGATGAAATATGCAGACTTATTTACAACTCCTATGGTCCCATATAGTAAACATTGGAATATTGATGAACTGTGTATAAGATCAAAACTCAAATTAAATAAAATACAATGAAATTGATTGGTGTTTTCACAAGGTGGACCCCTTGTCTGCTCATGATGGGTATCATGAGGAGGGCCTATGGGCCTAAGCATGCTTTCTACGTACATGTACCTTAATTTTAAGACAGGCTAGTAAATACAACCCAAACACTTTCAATTAGTCATTGGATATTATATTTTATAAACAAAGTGTTTCAAGAGTGCAGGATTCTAATATGCTAAAGGCAGAAGGTTGATACGTTGCCTTTCTTTTAAAACACGAACTAACCCTCCGTGACCACATGTTGTAGGCGCTATTTTGTTTCCAATAAACGCTTGAAAATCACAGAACAAAATCAGTCGTTCTGGTAAAAAAAAAACAGATTTGATGGAATTTTATTTTATAGAAGTTGACAAAGATAAAAAAAAAAGTATTTGAATAATCTTATGAAAAAAAAAACCTTTCAGTCGGCGCGTTTTAATTGGGTCGGTCGCGTTAGGGGAAACAAAGGTATTTTTTATTTTGGCCTAAGGAATGTTCTCACTCTTATAGAAAAAGGGGGAGAGTTTTGCATCAGAGAGTTTAGGAAAACCTTACGGTTTCACTGCCAGTCAAGCAGCCAAGTCAGAAAGAAAGATTTCTTCCTGAAACATTCAAAGTCAGAAAAAAAGTATGAAGTTTTAAATAAAATTAATTAATGAATCATTTGTTTGTATTGTCAGTATGGATAATTTTGTTCATTGGGTGAACTTTTATCATTAAAACAAAGGTTCTGAAACAGACACAGAGGGGAAAAACGTGTTTTATAAACCAGGAAAATAATATTTACAGTTTTATTCCTTCTGTTATCGAACATCACCTGATATAATAGTTTAAAAAAAAAAAATTTTTTTTTCGTATATCTTTGAACCGTTTAGCTGTTGTTGGGTATAGATACGTGGACCTAGAATTATTTAAATACGAGATAAACCATTATATTAGTTAAAAGATCTGTACCTGTACGTTAATAAAGAAGTACTAGGAGTATTATCTTAAAAATCAAATTTTCTTAATTCTGATGAAATAATACAGTTGGTTAAATAAAGAAATTAAAAATTTTATTGTCAGCTCTGCCATTCATCGTGCATGGTGACTTTTTTTTCCTGAGGCCTGCACAAAAGCGTGGATGCTATCTAACACAATAGTGGTCCTTCTGTCCTTCAGAAAAAGATTTTATTTTTTTTCTTTTCTCCTCGTTAATATTTATACCATGTAAAACTTGGATTCCATATTGGGCCCTAGCCTACAAATTTGAATGTTCACTATGTTAGGAAGCTTTCATGTATGTTTCATCCTTGAGCTTTTTAGAAAGATGACACGAAATCATCACAATTCTTAATTAACCCCCCCTTTGAAAGATTATGTATATCTTCATATGAACAAACTTAGAACCCCCTCACACCTTTGTGGCAAGTTTGGTTGAAACTGGCCTTGAGTAAGTTAAAAAACTTAAACTTTACAGACAGCTAGAAAAAGTTTTCGAGCTAAAACATTTCTATCAAATTCTGCAACTGTATGCATTTCAATTACAATATACAGGTAGATTTATTTATTTAAAATCATTATCATTTAGGGCTGTATCAATATATCGATAATATCGATATTTAAGAATGCATTGTATCGAAAAAATAACTTCCAATACGTATCGGAGAGGCAGATTTTCTTATAATTCTGTGAAAAAGTTGGGAATTTCCATCACCAAAGGTTATATTTTCACTGTTTTGAATTAAAATTGGTCAATAATGATATAATCATTAAGGAGATAGCTCATCTTAGATAAATATTACAAAATACATAGACAACTTTATTTTAACATGTTGATTTCACAGTCATTAAAAGTTTGAATTTGAAGTGTAATTAGTTAATATGACAGTGAGACAAAGAACTTCAAAATGGGTTATAAAACAATTAGTTTTTAGAAAACTCATGCATTAAATGATTTATAAGACTTTTTTGATAGACTTGTTAAAGAATCCAATATATCGGATATCGCATTATAAAATATTATTATCGTATCATATCGAATTTTTTTGCCCAATACACAGCCCTATTATCATTTAAGCAAAATTTTATATGAGTAACCCAGGGATGACAAACCTTAATTTATACAAGAGGATAGGAAAGTATGAATTAACTACAACAGTGAGTAGACATCCTTGCAAATTTAATTATTACGATCACATGATAATGAAGGATGCATTCAAATTACAAATACACGTATTATGAATAAAAAACTAGAACTTGAACTGACATGGCTAGGGCTTCACATAAATTTCAAGTCACTTTCCCTGGTTTTGTAAACAACATACTCACAATAATACAAAATACTTTTAATTATTTATTTAAGATATATCGTTGACAAATATTTACAAACCATGTACATGTATCTGTATTTGTGGAGAGAATACTAATCATTGAGGGCTACATTGTATTCCATATTGCACTACAGCTTCTGAAAGGGAAGTTATACTAGTAATTGCAGATTCGGTTCTTGACAACACATCATACAATACACTTTGTATCAGCATTTCCATTATTTTTATCAAATTACATGCAAAAGAAAATCATTATGAATTTGAATTTTGAATAAAAAATACATGTATAAAAAAAAAAAAGAAAAAAAAACCAAAACAAAACAAAACAAAAAACCCATCACCGAACTACCTTTGTTCAAGCCATGTCCTGCAAAAATAAAGAATTTTGCTGTTTGAGACTAGATTTCTTAACTAAGTCATTATTCTCTGTAACAGTACATTGACATATAAATCTGCTGCCTAACTGCAATAATTCGTACAGCTCTAGTCTTATCACAGAAACTTTCATCTTTCATCAAGTATTATAGTGCAAGCAAATACCACTGTCATACTGCATCTGAAGCTTATTATGATTTCTAACTTGAACACCAAACAACAGCTGAGACACATAATAGACATTTACACTGTCTGTGTTCCATCAAAGCTAATACAGGCTTGACATACATGTAGTAAGTGTTGAAACAACATATATAAACCTAGTGTCACTATAAAATAAATTCTGTGGCACCATAGTTTGAAGAAATGAACTCTAGTGCAGTGCCCTTCCAAAAATTATAATTTATTGATTGATAATTCAAAAAGAATTGTAAGAAGTTTATAAAAATTATATCAATTAAAACCTAATAAGA